GAACCGCGCGAGAACACACCGTACCGATTACCGAAAGATATTACCGCACCGCCGTCGACCGTATCAATTAATCCGGCGAACCGTCCCGCGTCACCGCGAAACAGTAATTATTATCCGAAGCGCTAATGCGCCAGATCACACAGTCGAACCGCCGCCCGTCAGAACGGCATTAGAAATCTATAAAGAATAGTTGTAAGTTAGTAATAAGTATAGATGTAGTAAATAGTTGTAAATATATTTTAGTATTTAAGTTAGAATCTGACTCTCTCTCTTTTCGAAACACTCACCGCCGGACCCTAGAATTCCCGCGGCTATCCGTTGCCTAAATTCACAGAATCGAACGGTCACAAACTAACAAAAAATCTTTTTACAACATTATTACACATATAATAAATAAATAATGCAAATGTACAAATTATATTAAACATATCATAAATAAAGGTTTAAAAATTTTTTGAATTACTTTTTAGTATAAATATTTAACGTAAAATAAATGTTTAATGAATATTAAATAAATATTGCTTATAACATTTTCACAAACGAATGTACAAATATTAAAATAATAGATAAGTAACATTACAAACATATTTTTTCTAACTTGCTTTTAAATAAATAATTAATATAGAATAAACGTTTAATAAATGTTAAATAAATGTTGTTTACAATATTGTTGCAAACAAATAATTAATAATTGTGAGCGAATCATGTACAAATACTAAATACATAATAAATAAAGATTGCAAAAATATTATTTTTAAGTATATATTTTTTAAAATACATACTTTTTAAATATATATTTTTAATGTAAAATAAATATTTAATAAATTTTAAATAAATGACAAATAAACATTTAAAAGATTTGTTGTTAAAGTACAATTTTAAATTAATATTTAATGAAAATAAAATATTTAATAAACATTTAATTAATATTTTTATTAAAATCAATTGAACAATATAAAATTAATGAAAATAAAATATTTAATAAATGTTTAAAAAATAATGGGTGCTGATTGGGTGGCTGAACGTTATGGTTTCATGTGACATCAACGCAACAGAGGTTAGAATTACACTTAATGGGTAGATAAGTTACACGTTTGCACTATGTACACTTCCGACGCCATGTTTATTCCAACGTCGGAACCACGGATTGCGGTACTTTATCTATCTAGTGACTTTACGGGTCTTTGGCGATCTGTCTATTAATCTGCTACAAACAAAATATGTCATTGAAGTACCGGGATTCCGCCACTTATCCTATGGTGGCGCTCGTGATGTCGATTACATCCTGAAGCGGCAACTAGCAGTCCATGATTATATAGTCAAAGTTTCTGACAACTTCATAAGACGTCTTAGAACTATTTAAGACGTCTTTAAGACGTCATAATGTTCTCTGGGATAATATCGCGTTCGCGATACAATTTGTCGAGAAACATGGATACCCTACTGTTACGCACGATCGGTTTCGTAATCCTATTTCTTTGCAAGTCAGGAAAGCATCTCTGATAATGAAAGATTGCAACCAAAAAAGTCCAAAGACTAAATTCAGGCCACAATACATCAGTGAAGTAGAGGTAGGTGTCAGCAATCTAAAAAAAAATGAATAAATTTCCTCCTCGACGAATTATAGGAGAAGAAATATATTTGAGCTACAAGAACGAAATGGTCTTCTTACTTCCCACATAAGGAAATCGCTAAGTCGAGTCTCTCCAGAAGTACGAATTAATAAATCCGGGTTTGAAGATTTGTAAGTGTACAAACAGTCGGTAATCAGGTGTTCATCAACATCTTCGGGCAAGATATCAGAACGCTTTACGCCCTTTGCTATATCCTTAATTGCATGAGTAATGTCCTCCCTTGCTACCGATATAAAAAAATATTTAAAAATTTATATTTTTTGAATTACTATATATACACATTACGTTTTACCATATACTACATATATGTGTATATAATTTCATTTATGCTTGGTATAAAAAATAAGCAAGTGCAAATATAATTAAATGTGACTTACGATAATCATACTTACATGTATAAGGACAAGCATAATTCAGAATAAATTTTTTATTGTCCCTAGTGACCATAATAACTTCGGCGATTATCTTGCTTAAATCTTTTGGGAGCAAGGACAAATTGCCAATCACGCGAATGCACACTCCATCTTTCTGCAGTTTTTTCCTGGAAATTGTACATTTGTAACAAAGGATTGTAACAAGGTTTTTTATATCTGAACTAGTGCAGCCAGTACAGCTATAGAGAACAGGGGGTCCATTTTATATCTTACACTACAGTAAAAATGCTAAAAGTAAATGATTTTATCTCTTTCTAACGCGGCGTCTACAAAGAGACTTTAAGACGTAAGACTTAAGAAATTAATCACTCGTGGTCAAATGTGAAGGAAATACTCCATTGTAATTGGTCAATTTTCTAAATCGTACGTCTTGAAATCTTAAGCCTATCACACAATGCCAGGCAACAGGCAACAGGAACAGGGAATAGAATTTCTGACGCGTTGGATTGGTTGGTAGAAAATTTCTGACGAATCCAACGCGTCAAAAATTCTATTCTCTCTTCCTATTGCCTGTTGCCTGGCATTGTGTGATAGGCTTTATTGTAGACACCGCATAAGGAGACGGTTAGAAAGAGACAAAGCTATTCACTTTTAGCATTTTTACTATGTAAGATACAGAATTGAATTACAGATTTAAGACTTCGCAACTCGGAATGTTCGATTCCTCCAAAAGAATCGATTTATGAATCGATCTTGAATTGGTGTCTCAAGAATCAATCTAAAAAATCGTTAAAATTTCAAATTATTAATTATTGTGAAAAGGGTGTTTTTAATTTTATATTATTTTTAATTTAAAATATAATTGTACATTTGACATTACATTTTTTATCAATAGTAAATAAAACATAACTTGCAAAAAGTATACTTTTCAAAGTCTTTCAAATATACATGTATACAGGGTATCCCATTTTAACTTGGACAGTAAAATATCTCGACAACTGAGCCCAGCAGACAAAAATGTTTCAGACAAAAGTTGTATGGTTTCGAGGGGGACATAAGACGGTACCATTGGTTTGACCTTGAAGAATTATGTAAAGGCAACATAATGGTCACACCAATTTTTTAAAATGGCGTCCCTTATTTTTTATTACATATTCTTGTAGCTGACCTCGAGAGCTTTCCAAAACGCTATAATAAAGTATTTTTTATTAAGAACTTTTTGAATATTAAGATTTGAAAGTTCCAAAATTTTGACATAAATTACAAAATATCTTGTAAAATATTCATTTTTTTATCATCTTAACTTAATACTTTTTTGAACAGAATAATGATACAAATCAACCGGTGTAAAGAAAACACAATTGTTAAACTTTTTTTTTATTACTTATTACAAAATTGTGTGTTTTCTTTACACCGGTTGATTTGTCTCATTATTCTGTTAAAAAAAGTATTAAGGAAAGGTGACAAAAAAATGAAATGCTTCAGAAATATCTCTTAAATGCTTCGGAAATATCTCTTAAATGCTTCAGAAATATTTCTGAATGATTTCTATATTACATTTCAATATTAATTTCAAAGTTATCTTTCGGAAAGCTTTCTGAAACTGTTCGGTCATCGACGACGCCGAGTGAGTCGACATTGAGCGCCTGACCCGTGCGTCATCCGATCGGGTAGATGCAGTAGGCGTCGGGGCGACTCGACTCCCTTCCCCCCTTGTTTCTAAGCGGGCC